CATCAGAACTCACCTTTCATCTTTGTGTGGCTCCCATGTTTTGGGTCACAGACGACCTGGCAGGGCCACCAAGGTCGTCTGTTGAATTTTGCCCACACCAGGTCTCCTTCTAAGTACTTCACAACAGGGAGAAGTTTTTTCTTTGGGCTGTTGGACTAAATCAGCACAAGGAAAACAATTTAATGTGAGACAAAGGCTAAAATGGCAGGTCATGTTATTTCAAATCAAATCAAAACAGTGACAGAACGGTATAGGAAAGCAAGTGCAGCTCCTCTTCTGGTGTTAGATTTCATCAAGATATGTTTAATCTAAAAGTGTATATTTCAACATATATTTTCACCAATTTGAAAAAAAAATCCAGTTTCTTTCTGGTCAAAAGCAACTTCTGATTTTCTTTGAAGACCTAGAGTCTCATTTTGAGCGATTACGATTAAGATTCTAGACATTACAAAAGAGAAAGAACTACAGCTCTTAGATAGCTTCTGATTCAAACAGAAAACAAAGAAATAATAAGACTATTCTCATTTTTACATTACATTTTTACATTTTTACATTACATATGCCACTAAACTGTATCTGAGTTTTACTAAGTTTTACTAAAAGGGTAAATGCTTCATATTTGTCTGTATTCATTAACTAATCAGAGCAGATTCTCATCTTTGGCTGACTGATTGGTGCATCTCTATAAGATATATTTCAAGTGATACTTTTAACAGAATCTTCCCCCGTGGATTAGATTTCTCCACTCCAATACATAGCCAAGACAAGCAAATGTTCATTTGATTGCACAAACAATGCAAAAGAAATTCCCCACGTGTGTCCAACTCACATTAGAGCTTGTGCCAGCTGGTGAGACAAACCCAGGGTCAACAGGAGAGGTGAGTTCGACTTCGCTGTCCGACTCCTCGCCCACATTCCACCCGTCTCTCATAGTGATTTCTGGCAGTGCACTGGGGCTTAGTGTGGGGTTAAGTTCAGAAATAGTTTTGGACATCAGATTAAAGACTGTGGGTTTGTATGCTCGTCTCTCTACCACTGAGTTGCATGTGCTTTTGCTCCCAGTGACATTTCTATCCTGGGTCGTGTTTGAGGGGAGCTGAAAAGGTTTGAGGTCCTGAACACCGCCGTGCCCCTCCTCCTCTTCCTTGATGTCACCGCTGTCAAACAGCATGGACCCAAAATGCAAGCCCCGATGCTCCCAAAACCCGATGGGAGCATCTGGGATGCGCTCGAAGCTGTCTGGGCTACGAGGGGAGAAGCCGTTCCTGCTCCCATTCTGCAGACTTTCAAAGGGGTCCATGTCGTCTGTGCCAGGGGATGAAGGTAGCTGGATGGGCGGTGGCTCAAACCCCTCATCTTCATCGGTGATCGAACGGGCACAGTGCAAGCTGCTCCTGGAGTGAAAGTCTTTGCTGTTGAGTGAGGCGTTCATGCGCTGTGGTCTCCTCTGTGGGCTGTAACCCGCATGCAGAGTCTCGAATGGCTCCATGTTGTCAGTGCCAGGCGATGGAGGCAGTTGGACTGCTGGCGGCTGAAACTCATCATCGTCATCATCGGTGATTGGACTTGCACAGCGTAAGCTGCTCCTGTCCTGGAGGTCAGCATTCAGGCGCTGTGGTCTCCTGTGTGGACTGTAGCAGTGGAAACGCTCCAGCTGATTGTATCCCAGGAAAGCAGGCTGTGGCAGCTGGCCCAGTCCACGAGTCACAGTGCCACACTGGTTCCTATAAGAAGTGCTCAGAGGGCCGTTTCGGGCCCTCAGATCTGGCTGGCTGGGGCCAAACACCGATTCGACCCTAGGACCCGGTCTGTATGACTGATTCATGTTGTCATCCTTATATCCTGTTAAACAGAAACAGACACTGTTAGACACGGGAGGTGGGACGTTTAATGCCAGCATAACAAACACAAATCCGAGACAAACAACAACCTATCCAGTCTGCAAAGAAACTTGTAAAGCGAAGGCTGTGCGCGCACACACACCGTGATAGCATGGCCTCCATTGTGAAGGGCCAGCTCAAGACAAAACCCTAAACACGTCCACCGGTGAGCTCCGGTCCACACGTTCCTGTCTGCGAGTTATTAGAAAAAATAGCGCCGCTTTGTCTGCTAATTGTGGGTCATGGCGATCACCGAGACAGTGGTGAAGGTGGTGACACTGAGCCATCACAGGAAAAAAAAAAAAAAAAAAAAAAACACAAACAAGCTACGACCGATCAGAGGAAGCTACTATTAACTCACACATTGTCAACACGTGGAAAAAAGGGCGAAAAACCCACCATTTGTAGGTCGGCCACCGTCAAACCAACAGCGGATCTTTGTTGGAGTGACACAAAGCGACTGCTTTCCTCGGCTCTGCCTGCACAATCCCAGCTGCAGCAGCTCTGATAGTAGGCCCAGGCACAGCTCTCATTCTCGGCACTTCATCGCCTCATCAGCAGCAGCGGCGACGGCAGCAGCGACGGCCCTCCTCTTTAGAAACTGTCAGCTTTACAGGGAAGAACAGGACTAAATCTGCCGCTCCACCTCGAGAGCCACAACCGGTGTCTCCCTCTGCCACGGCAGATTATTCACTACATGTTTTCTCTTCGTGCTAGCCGAAGTGCCCTCGGTTATGTTAAAACAAGCCCAGGCTGACTGTGTTGGTGAGCAGCAGCCAATCGGCTACCCAGCTACCCAACCCCCCGTCTCCGCAGAGGGCCGTGACACTCGCGCGCTGCCGCACACACTCATGTAAATACGGGCGAAAGCGCAAAGCGCGCGCGTCAGGACATCCAGGTGAAGTTACTAAAACTGCAAAACAGCAGCAGCGACAAACTCCCAGGAGTTCGCAAAAGAACGAGGCGCCTCGGCGTGTTTGACAGCAGACTCCGGGTGTGTTGTTTTGCGACCGAGCTGCGCGGTTTCCACGCCACTTTCAGAGCCGCACACACGGCCTCCCCGGTCAGACCTCACTCTGTGCGCCATGTTGTCTTCCCGCACAGAGGACTGGCAGGAGGAAGCAGGCCCGGCAGGCAGGCGCAAAGGGAAATACAAAAAAGACAGAGACGAGCGGCGAGAGCCGCTGCGCCGTGAAAAGTTATTGTCTTCTGTTGACTTTCGAGCAGCGATTTGTCACACAAGCATGTCCTGTAGTTACGCAGACTGAAATTATTCGGATTCAAAAGCGCAACTGTATGTAAAAGAGCGCACAGTGGGCTCTTGTCCTCTTTAAAGGATCACACAAAAACCTCGTGATTGCTTCATACAGCTGACCCACGCATTTATTTGATATCTTACCCCATTTAAAGGTCCGAAATGTTTCTGGGAATATCCGGTAGATTACAGGGGCTGATATCTATCAATTTAAACACGATTCACATAACAACACGGCCCAGTTTTATTATGAACCGGCTCCTCCTTTATACATCCCTGTAAAAACGCACTCTAATAGTGTCATAATGGCATCCGTGATTTAACTTGACTAACTGTAAATATGAGGATTTATTACAAAGTAATAGCAATTGTCAGGAAGGGAAAAGACCCCTAGTGGCGACATAGGAGCATTAAATGTTTTGTAATGGGTGCTTAGAAGAGGCTTTTTTATGTCCTTGGAGTTGCAGACCAAAATAAATAAAAGCCGAACTAGAATTTTATGAGTTGAAGTATATTGCTGTAGCAGGACTTTAAATTTAGGTCAGAAAATAAATCTTCATTCCCTTAAGGATGACAAAACAACAACACACAACTGTGTATGAGATTGTTTCAATAGCACCATAAGCCTAACTTGCATGTTTTTGGGCTAAAGAAGGAGGCTGAAGCACATGGAGAAAGGCTATGCATGCACATGGACACGCTGCAAAGCTGCAAGGTAACAGAGCTAACTACTGATCAGTACTATATGGTGGTCAGAGTGGTCGAAATTCGAATAGGTTCCAAAAGGCACAGCAAATTGGCAAAGGGGTGAACTGAGCTTGAGCCACATACTTGAAAAGATTTTTATTATGGTTTCACATACAGCACATTAGGATTTATTATATAATCCACAATGCACATTTCTGATTTTCAATAGTGACAAGTATAACTACATAAAAATGGAAGTGCTTATGATGAGTTCAATAACAAGTAGGAAAGATGTCTATATTTACAAACTGCAGAAAGAATAAACACTGTGCTCAAAACGTAGTAAGTTATAGTAGATGAAGCTAGTTAAAAATTTAATTGTTTAAAGAGATTCGCCACAGACGGTAATTTTCTTTTCCGTTGTTGTAGAACCAAAAATAATAACTCCCACCATTTTCCGCCTCTAAATGTATTAAACAACTGCATGTATGCAATATTTAGCCTAAACGAAAATTATACACATTTAGGGACAAATGCTTTGATACTGAAAAGGTGACAATCTGTCTATAAAATAAACTGGAGCCATTTTTGCCTTGATTAATGTGTCTTCAGCAAGAATCAGTCAAAACTGAAACTGGTAGGTCAAACCTCACTGCTTAACTTTGGTGCTGGGTTGCAAAACAAAATAAAACACATACTGTACAAGTAGACTAGTTTGAAAACATTTTCTGTCAAGGAAGTGAGCTGGTTGATCTGTTTCAGAAAGTAAAACTAGAACAAAAACATAAGACATAAAAAATGTTCTGGAGCCAGGGCCGGCTCAAGGATTCTTGAGGCCTGGAGCAGAATTTAATTTGGGGGCCCACCTTTAATTCATCATAATGTTCATGCTTGGCTGCTTGGACAGTTTTTACCTTCTGCCTTCAACTAGCTTGTATTTCGGTCGACTAGTGAATGAACATTAATTCGTTTGACTATAACATCATGCATTTTCAAAAGTCACTTTACGTTACTAAATAAATTGTAACACAGACAGAGTGCTCATTTAAAAAAAATAAAAAATAATTTTAAATTTAACATGGTCACCAAGTTGTGTAAATTTAATTTGGGTTCCTAAGAAGATTCAATTTTGATTTATACCTTGAGCTGGCCCAGACTGAAGGAACAAACAACTCTGACATAAAGTTTGAATTGCTACTTATGACTTTTTTTGCTTTTTCTGATAATGTTTTTTTTTTTTTTCTGTTTTTTTTTGCATGCATGAATTAATGCATTGGTAATTACACTTTAATTCACTTATTAGATGTGAGTGAAAGGTGATACAGCTTCTTTATTTTTTTTAAAAAGTTTTCTGACGCATGCTCATGCAACCAAATAACAAGAGATGTCTGTTGAGCTATTCGCCGGGTTCATCCACTTTGCTGCTGGCATCACAGAGATCTCTACTTTCCATGATGGCGTACGGAAAAGGCGGAACATCAGTGCCAGGGAAGTCCAGTTTCTTGGGAATGCTGCAGTTGCTCAAGTCAAGTGTTTTTGCTGCGTCACAGCCAAACTCTAGCTTTTTGAGACGAGCTAGACTCTTGATGCTGCCGGGCGGCCTGCCTGGGCTGACTTTATATCCCGCTGCCTTGGTGGTCCCTAGGGGTCTCCCTGGGCTGGTTTTGAATCCGGCCGCTCTGGTCGTCCCAAGTGGGCGTCCAGTACTTGTGCGGTACCCAGCCAACTTTGTAGTCCCCGAAGGCCTCCCTCTACGCCCTGATTTAACAGTACCTTTCTTTTTCTTGGGGCCATCGGGCGCCAGGGCCTCGCCGGCCCCGATTCTCACAGCCTGAGGTTGGAAGTCACCTTGGGTCTCCTGCAGCTGGCATGTCATGGCTTTGTGTATTCCCTGTGGCAAGGGGGTAAGAGTGGCGAGGGACAGCTGCAAACTGGGATTTGTCGGAGAGGCATAAAACTTGTTGGAGTGGGTGCTGCATAAATCAAAGTGGCTGGCCGGGTGGCAGTCCTCTGCCAGCCCACCGATACAGAAGTCACTGGTGCTGCTGCTCAATCGGTGCATCATTTTTCTGTTGGGGTGAAGAGGAGTGGAAATAAGGAGAACATGTGGCAAGTACAAACTGAAGCAGCTTACTTTGATGAAGCACACAGGCCCTTTTTTTTTTTTTTTTTGTCAGGTTGCAGCACAAAACATTAAGGATAAAAAAAACAAAAAAGCAAAGCCAGAGTTTGTAAAACTGTAACTTGTTGCAAACCAGATAACCATTGCAATCAAAGCTTAGCCACTCATAACACATAAACGGGTCAGCTCGTACCTCATTTATTGTTGGGTGTTGTGTTGGAACGCGTTGATTGTGTCTCGTAAAGGTTTGTCCCCTCTGGAAGCAGCAGCATCATCTTTGTGCGGGCGCTGCGCCCCCTGCGCCCCCTGTGCTCTGACCAGAGCTCCGACCGGAAACAATCCGCTTTCTGCAGTTTATTTACGGCCTGGTTATTCCTTGCTGAGGAGGGTTAGATGGGACCGGCAGCCATTTTTGACCCAAAAAAAAAAAAAAATTAATAAAACGGCATTAACCGAGCACGCATGCGCAAAGGCGGGTCTACAAGACGTCGAGAGGAACCGAGTGACGTAGTGAGGCTCAGATCACATATAACAAAGCTTTCAAATTGTTGCAGAGCAACTACATCACTATTACTCTGAAGCTTTTGTCTAAATGATATTAAACTCATGGCCATTTTCATATTTCATCATATTAACAAAAAAGTTAGGTGTATTTTATTGCAAATTTAAACAGTTTCCAAAATGTTTATATTCGGAAATCATATATATATATATATATATATATATATATATATATATATATATATATATATATATATATATATATATATATATATATATATATATATATATATATAATTGGTGTTCTGATATTAACTAAATTGAACATGTGATGACAGAAACTTTGGGCGATGCTTCTTTCAAACTAGTTCAGGTTTATGACAAGCATCTATGAACAATACTTTTATATAACTTTTATCTCCACTCTGATAGCTCTGGTTTCTTGTTTTGCGCTGGCAGATGAACTTCTTCTGAGTCATTCAGGCTTTTGAAAACTCTAATTGACCATATTTCAAGATTATCCTACATTTAGCTTAATCCATCTTTCGCTTTAGTCTGATCAGCTTTCCTGTTGTTGCTCCAGCAACCCCACAGCATGACATTGCCACCACCAGGTTCTACAATGGGGACGATGTGTTCAGGGAGACGTGCCCCTTGCCCAAGAAAGACCTCTTCCCCTCCTTGATATTACTTCATCAAAACCTGATTTGTGGAATGCACAACTAATAGTTGTTTGTGTTCATACTCTCACTAAAAAGTGCTCCTCCATAGTTACATAAGCCCCTAGTTTGCCTCTCTGACGACAGTTTAGACATGATACCGTCTTTGGGTTGAACAGTGCCATATTAAAACCTTGGAGAAATTGTTTTATTCCTCAACTGTGAGTTAAACGTCACTTTAACCCTGACCTGTTCACAGAAAAGTTGGATTCACATGTAGATTTTTATTACACATGGATGTATCTACTGATGTATTACATTTTTGTTTCAGACTGAAGAGACATTGATTAAATATGCCAGACAATTTTCAGATTTCCATTAGAAAACTCTCATAATCAAGCATTGTTCTGTATTTTTCTGTCACATAAAATCAAAATACATTAATGTTTATGGTTCTAACAAATTTCAAGTCTGAGGCGAGGTGAATACTTTCGCAAGGTACTGTCCATCCAAGTAAGGCAAAGACAAAAGTCAGTTTTTTGTAGTTTTTATTAACATCTATAAGAATTTAAGCACAGACACTGGATTTAAGGAGTAACCACAGTGCTAGGACAAATAGCAATATTTATGTCTGGGTTTGCAAAATTAAGTCCACAGGACTTAAGCCTCCCTGATGACCTGGGTCAGTTTTTGGATCTTTGTCTTAGTTGACATGTCCACATATTTGTCTCCAATGCTGACAATCATGCCACCCAGGATCGAAGGATCTGACTGCAAAGAGAAAATGAGTTAAAAATTACAGACAACTGAAAAATATTGATGCAGCCCGATATGTTTTTTTCCACCCCGGCTAATTGCTTCAATGTAAATTTAATAAGAAAATCTGTACCTTTGTTTCCAGCTTGATAGTTTCCCCCTTCTGAATAAAGCCATTTAGGGCCACTTTCAGTTCAGCAAGACTAGATTTATCCAAAGGCTGAAACAAAAATGAGTTATGGTATCATTAATCAAAGACCACATGTACAACACTAACAGTACCAGTGATTAATAAAGTCTCTGTAGAAACAACACATTTCCTACCTGAGCAGTGGTGACGGAGCAGATGACCTCTCCACGGTGTGCACTCATCATTTTCCCAAATGCAGCGATAACGTCACCAGTTAGAGTGAGACGACCATTATCAGCCAGGACATCTACAAGAAATAAACAAAACATGCAAGTTCAAAGTTTACTCAGAAACAAAATGCATAGAATCCATACAATATTACATGTAGTTTAAGCTTATTATGTTTTATAACCATCTCTGTATTTTAGTTCAAGAGCCAGTTATAGTTCTCTTATGTTAATAACAGAAAAGGTTGAGTGATAAGGCAACGGAAAATATGATGCGGAGACTAACAAAAGAAATCCATCATGTATTCCATTAACATGTTTCAACACACAAGACAAAAAATACAGGCAAGGCAATAAAAAGTACCCACAGAAATAACTGGTGTCACTATATGGTTCGAAATGAACACATTCATCCTCTGATTGACAACAGAGGAGGATTCAAATGTATCTTAAATGATTTTCAAGAGCATTTTGAATCAGTTATGACGTCCGAGGTTAAATGTTTTCATCTTCTCTCATCAAGTAAAAACTGTAAGGTCAACAATTCAAGACAAAAGATAAAAAAAACAATATAAATATATTTTTAACTGTTAACTATGACACTGCATATACTGGTAAACTAAATCTTTATGGGCATGCAGAGATCTATTTAGTCTGCATGCTGAAGAGTAGGTTCTTCACATTTTCCTCTCTTTTGATCTCCAACAGAGGAGACACAGGGTCTTCAAATGAATGTCCTATAGGACGGTGTTCTGCAACTTTTAGATGCATCCATGGTCCAACACACCTGAATTTCCTCAGTTTGCAGTCAAGTTCCCTACAGTCCTGCTAATGACCTGACCAGGACCCCAGCTGTCGAGGCCTGGATTTGAAGACCCCTTTCTGGTATACCATTTACTAAAGGTGCACATGGGTTTTTCATATTACTGTTTAGTCTAATTAAAGTGTTGGATAAAAAAATTGCACAGACTCTTAAAAGTCATTGATGACATACATAAACTGTAATTATAAATGACAATTTTTTTGTTTGCACAAATTTTTTTCAATTTAAATTTGTTAAACTTTTTAAGGTAGGGTGCAACTGTGCTTCTCCAAGTTGCCGAGCGCAAGTGTGTATTTATGTATATAAAATTACAGAACTTTTTTTTATATAAAAAAAAATTACAGAACTTTTTTTTTATATTAAAAAAAAAAACAGTGTTAAGTAGCAGCCATCATCTGAACCTCAAGTTTGCATTTGCACATCTAACATTCTTCTCAATTGTCAAATTTATTCTCTTGCAGCTCAGTTAAACGTTTTAATGATCACTGTGGTCTAATGAGAAAACTTAAACTAATACAGTGACAACATGGTGGTTGAAATTGAAACAAGAGTTCTGCACTCACTGATGAGGTTGACAGTGATTGGGGAAACATTGGCCTTTGCAAGGGCATCGTGGAAAGCCTTCTGCTTGATGCTGCGCTTGACATGAGGATTCATTACAATACCAGACATCTTAGGGTCCTTGATCAGGTTCTAAGGAAACCAGGCAGAAAGAAGAATAATGTTGAATTAAATTAAGTTACGGTATATTAGATAGTTAATAATTATAAACAGGCAGTACTATATTTTGTGATTTCACACTAAATCACTGATATTATGCAAAAGTTTTGTAATTTTGGTCCTATTTAAAGAAAAGAAAAACTTGATCAGATTTTTAAAAGAAATTGTTAAGAAGTAATGCTACCTTTACCTACTGCTGCTTACATACAGAAAAACAGAAGAAAAAAAAAAACTACAAAACTCTCTGGTTTTGGGCATGAATAAATTAAGATGCACTCACCAGCAAATACATCATTTATGAGAGCTGTGATTTTAAGAATCCTGCTTTATAAGGATTCTTAACATCTTTATAAAGCAGGAACATGGGGAGAACTTGTCTCATTTTGATGTAATTAGTGTGAATGCTACAGGCATTCACACTCTTGTTTTCCTGTTTGTCTTTATCCTTTTTATTTATATTGTTATCTATAGAACCATAAAAGGTATAGATTTCACTCACCCACAGTCTTCATCAGAAGAAATAGTGAAATTTTTTCTGTCCTTTTCCAATTTTAGGTTTCACCTGATGTTTTTTTTTTTTTTGTTTGTTTTGTTTTTACATTGCATAGAATATATAGCTTCTAATACTGTTTGGGTGGAATTTTTGCATTGTTCAAAAGCTGTTACTCCTCTTCAACAGTTTTTCTGTTATAATAATCCCATTTAGGCATTTTGCAGGAGTATAACTTGTTCTGGTGCTTCTGCCTATTTCTTGCATTTCTGCAAGTCTTCAGCAGTTGACTTCAAACGTGTTGGCATTTTTCACAAAAGCATTCACACTTGCACTTTCGCAAGAAATGCACACCTTCTAGTTTTTGTTGTTTATGGGCAATAAAAAATATAGGTTAAATTCCAGAATTTAAATCAGAATATTTTAGGCAGTGAACTAGTAATATGGTTTAAATATAATTTATCTATTTGAACTGAGCTTAGAACTAATTCTAGCAAAGAATGAAATGAGCACTGCACAACTTACAGAAACTTTCCCCAGCTCCTGCTCCACTTGGTCCAGTTGGTTCTGCTTACTGGCAGCAGAGAACAGAGCTGTGGCATAACGGCCCTCCACTCCATAGACTTGGATGGGAGGCTAGAAATAACGATACAATAAGATAATCCAATGTGCAGCTGACCGTCGATGACAACAATGATGGCAGTTTTGTCAAGGATCGATCGACGCCAACTCCTTACCTTAACCAGTTTAGCTGTAGGTCTGATAACAGACGTGCTGAACCGGCGAGCCTGGTGGGGAAAGAATAATCACTGAGCCGTCAACAAAATGAAATGACCACAAAGCAAGCTGAATCTTATTTTGAAGCTTTTTACACCGTATACGTTACAGACAGTTAGCTGCAAAGCTAACACATTAGCAGTCATTCAAGTGCACAAACTCCTAAACATTTAGTGAGTATTTAGCGACCCCTTCTAACAACCAAAACATATATAATGTACATGTCATACAGTTAAGCTCGGTTAATATCGCTTGGGACTGAGATAAAATCCTGCAGATGACGAAAAAAGTGTCAATGTCTTACCTGCTGTCCTAGTATGTGTGCTGCCATTTTCTCCT